CTACTATATAATATAACTATCAACTAACTAATAACTAATAACTAATAATAATAAATATAAGATATAAAATACAATAAGAAATATATATAACTACTAATGCTATTTATAATATACTATGCTAAGATCTACTTTGTAATATTATTAATAAATTTAATCTTAATGCTGACCAAGTTTATTATAATTCTAGTTAATATTAAATCTATATATTTGTAACATTAGATATGTAACTTATAAAGATGTGCCAACTTATTGATGTAAATAAGTTGTCAATCTTCTAAATGGTAGATAGTAAGTTCAAAACCTACTGATGATGAAAATTTGGATAATCTTCTATGTAATATATAGATAATATTATGGTGATAACATTCTGTTAATCAATTGAAATAAGATATCTGTAACATAATCACATTAATATAACTGGCAGGTTATGAGGCATCTGCACAATTTTAGAGTTATATAAAGAAATACAAACTGGCATCAGGCAGTGTAAATCCAAAATAAGTTCTTGTGACTATGTAAACTTGTAAACTGGAAAGCTAGAACCCAATTGAGAAGATCTGAATAAAAAGATAACACAGATCTTCAACAGTATCACTATAAAGATTAGACCTAAAAAACAGATATCAATGCGAAAGAAATCAGGTAGACAAGAATCTCGGATAAGAGATACCACCAACCAGGCTGCCAGAAGTCTTGAACCAGAAAAAAAAAATTTTTAAAACAGATCCTGAAATACTAGAGACAGATTATAATCCTATTGGGCTATCTGAATTAGAAGTCTGAGATTAGAAATAAGAATATATTATAAGTACTAGGAATATGCTGTGAAATTGATGCTAGAGTCTGAGTGAACTCTGCAAAAACAAACTCTATTAATAAGAACTAAATGTAGATAATTAGTTAACAAAAGAACATCCTTCAATCTTACAATCAGGTGATATATTCTAAAATATGTAATAGCTTAACAGATGTACAAAAAAGAAAGTCAAGGCAATATCTAATATAGGTGTATGAGAACTTGTGTACTATCTGTCAGTATAGTATAAGGATCAGTATTTAAAATAAGCAATCTTCTAGTAGATTGTAGGTATAATAACTAGTATAGAACCTATTATGCAAGCAGACTACTTAAATTAGACAGCCAAAAGTTGTACGAGTGGCTAGTTGTACACTCACCTTGTACAAGTTATGTAACCATAATTAAAAATACAATAAAGACAGTAACTGCCGATAATCATGACCTTAGTGAAAGCAAAAAAAAAAAAAGTCATGTAATTTACATTGTCAGGTAAGTTATCCCATCCCTAATTGCAACCCTCCCTAAATGCACTGGTCCGGACGATGTGCATTCAAGGAGGTCTGACTGTATATCAGTTAATTTAAAGCTTAAAATTTCGATTAATTTTACTATGTCAGAATTATTAACTACAACAAAATTGTCACGGATGGTTAGTTAATTCCGGCCAAAATTTTGCAGATCCACGGCCGTTGGCCTACAAGACTAGCAAAAAAATTTCGCTCATCATGTGATCTTATTGCAAAACCAAGAAAAAAAACTTCGCTAAGAAAAAACATTTCGCTATTAGGTTAGGGTATTACAAGTAGGTTAGGTTTAGAGGGTTATAGTTATACCAAAATTTACAAGAACCCATTTTCTTAATATGCAGAAGGACAAAATTTCGAGTTACGGATTATTTTAGTTTCTTGGCTTTTTTCACGTTACACCTGATCTCGAAATTTGAAATTTTTTAGACTGGTATTTTATATGCTATTATCAAAATCGAGGATCTGCCGTGACGTAACACGATCAAGAAAATTTAAGAGTCGCAAAAATCAGCACAAGCAACCACCTTTAGTACTTAAACAAAAACTTTTCGTTGAGCAATTTTATTAATTTTATTGTATAAACTATTCACCTCTAAGTCCTAACATGACACATAAGTTGAGATTTGTCCAGTTTTACCATATGGATTTGACAATCAATACCAGTGTTGGCCGATGACCACCATTTTTTTCCTATATGACTTGGTCATGTAATCATGATTTTTTTGGTCATAGTCATATGATCATATTAAATGCTAATGAAAAAATGTATCAATTCGTTATGATCAAATGACCTATAAGGGTCATGTAGGTTATTTAAGGTCATATACCAATTCTGAATAGAACGGTTGTATGCTAAATAAATCAATTATTTTAACTTTGATGGTTGTAACACCAAACCGGAAATTGTTTATTATAAAATCTTGTATGCCATAATACTGATTGTTTTTTAAATTGAAATTGTTTTTTTTCAGTGTTATTTTCATTTCCGTTTATTAGATCGATTTGTTAATATTAAATATCACTAACTGAAAAACTAAAAACATCAACCCGTTTTTTTTATATTTTTAATATATTATAATAATTATTATTTTTACTTATAGATCTAAAAGAAGTTTGAACATTTGCTAGTTCCGAAATACGGCAGCACATACCCCAAAAGATTTGCTTTTAGTATCCTGCTGTCTACAAAGCCATCTTCGACGTTACTTGTAGGATCCTTTCAAGCTGCAGATGAATATTTGACACAAATACAGTAGATCAAAAATGTCCTTGATAAAGATGTGATATAAAGATTAAGTTTATCAGGAATAAATAATATCTATAGTATTTAGTTGGATTAACCTTCATTGCTCTCTAGTCTCTTTATATATATGTATCTACTCTTAATTATCGTAATAATGCCATTCAATTTACTTTAGGAATTAAAAGTTGTCCATCCCACGGTCCCAATTTAATAAAATTTTGAACATTTGAGTACTAAACTTTGTAAATTGGAGATTATTATTGGCATTAAATTCGGGAAAAGGGTAGTGAAGTTTCGGATTGTATTAACGGTAATTTTACTTTGAATTTTTATCATCGATATTAAGTTTCACGTGATTGGTCCAATGTCTTTGCAATTCAAGAATAACTTATTCATCGCCTTGCAAGCATCATGTTACTATGAATACGTGACGGGTTTTCTAATGTGATTCTATTAGTTTATGCTAAGCTAGAAAAAAACACCTACAATGCGTACATAAGGCTGCCTATTTTCCTATTCGATTAAATTACTAATACTCATGATATCTTTTTTATGTGGTAAAATCAAAGTGTCTTCTGCTTTATCTTCATTATGTTCCTGAATTGTATTTGCTGCTACGCCTATATCTTTTGTTGAATTAGCGCCATTAAAAGAGTCTACACCGCGAGAATAGCTTGAAGAATACGATGTATTTGTTGAATATATGTCAGTAGGACCATATGATAATGTCGTGACAGGAATTGTATTCGGCGAGGATCTATAAGATGTATTAGCTGGAAAAGGTGCCGAAACATTGTTTGAGGCAGGTCTATAATCAGTCATGTACATATTGGAACCACCAGCATATCTATAATTTATTGTTGTCGCGGGTTGTATGTTTGCTGAAGGTAGAATGAAATTAGATGTTTGTAGATATGATAATAATTGTGAATTTGGCGCTGGAGTTGTGCCGACCGCCGAAGGAGTTGGTAAAATTTGACTCGTATCTGATTAGAGTAATAAGAATATAATTCACATTTATTAGCCTACTAACCAAGTTTTTTTTCTTCAAACAATATTTATATATATATGATTCACCTTTTTTTCTTCTCTTTGTTGCTCTCTCGGTACCATCTTTTTTCGTGGATTTTTTTGTCGGTTTCATATTATTTCCGGCATTTTTACCATCATATTCAATATCATTATTATTAGATGATTTTTTCGTGTTCTTAACAGGCCTCTTTCGTTCTTTAATTGGTAAAGCCGAAACTTCTTGATTTTCTTGTTTATGTTTTAAATGTTCAGCACTAGTCGAGTCAATATTCATTTCCTGCATAGTTTGATCTAATCGCAGTGCATTCTCGATTGGTTGAATTGAAGGAATGATGGTATTATTGGAATCAATTTTAACAACATCAATAATCTCATCATGTTCATTATTACTCGCAGGCGTGTTAGATTGTATAACCTGACTCTGCAAACACCTCGCGCAAACATATTCAATTTGTGAAAAATCTCTCGTTTTACGGAATCTCTCGTCAATCTTTAAAAGACAGTCGATATGCTGCCACACCGCACATCGATCACATGCAATCATATTACTGCCATCGTTCTATAAACAGGCAGCAGTTAAAAATCTTATCGTTATTTACTATAATTTAAACGCTTAAATACTTACAATGTTCGTGCCAGAGACACCACATAAACAATCGAAATACCAATCTTCCGGTTGTTGATTTTTAGTCTGAAGTGTTGTCTCCGGTGGTGTTGGATGATCTTTTATGTCATTAATTCGTTTGGTTTTTACGGCACACTGTTGTTCAATTATCAATTCATTATTATCTTTTTTTAATTTATCATCTCTAGCTTGCAACCGTAGCTCTCTTTCTTTTGAACGGAGCTCACGTGCTTGACTTCTTGCTTCCCTATCCTACAATATGTAAATACATTTGATAATGAAGTGAATAAACATGATACATAATTGCTTTCGCCTTTGAATAATAAATAAATGAAAAATTATATATTGAACCTTCTCAGCTTTAATTTTTGCAAATTCTAGTTGCCTAGCTTTTTCCTCCTGCTCATCTTGATCTTTTTTAAGTTGAGCAGCACGATCGGCTTCTTGTTTTTCGAGTTCTCTTTTCTGAATTCTTGAACTACGCTTCCTATTAGCCAAGGCATCGAGTTTCTTTCGCTCTTTTTCTTTCTCCTACATTTATAAGATTTGTCAATTTCGCAGGCTATGGGCAAAATAGGCACATAAAATTAATATTTATTACTTACTTGCAAGGCAGCCAAGATCTTCGGTAAAAGGTCTTCAGTCAACAGCTTATAAAATTCTTTTTCCCGCACATTTCTTGTTTTTTCGAATCGTTTTGGAAATTCTTCCCATTCAGCAATTGTGACGCAAATCTATTAATTTAAAATTTTGTATAACATATGTGCTATATTAAATGAATTATGAAAGGAAAAATTCTTACAGTCTCCCAATTTGTTGATTCAGTAATGGTCTCATTTGCTTCAGAGGAAACATGTTTCGCACGATTGCGTCGAGTATTTTTAATTTTGCTTTTTTGTTTTTTTGACACTTCTTTTTTTGGTGATTCTTTGCAAAGCCGATTATCTAAAACAATAAAAATTAGTTATATGCGTTCAGAAACATATAAAATCTTTAATAGGTAATCAAAATTTACCATCAAAAAGCCAATACGTATTGCCCTTCGAGTCATATCCAACCGGGGTGACCCGCTATTGTAAAAAAAATATATTATTATCATTAAAGATGGTAATTTGAAATCCAAGAATTTCTATAATTATAATAACGATTAATTCTAACCCATTCTTGCGGGTTTTCTTGATTTGACAGGAAGGTTCTAAATTTTTCAGGATTCCGCATCTGCCAGTGGCAAAGATCATGTAAAATCAAGACCTTTAAACACAAATGTCGAATAATGTTAGCATTAATGAGCAATAACTTAAGTCACATGAGGTCATAGCATACCTTCTGTTTTACAGACATATTCTCAAATTTTATGGAACATATTTCATCGCCGAATGGGTTCTTTTCAGGCGCATATTTCTGATATTGTTGACAGAGATGTTGTTCCCAGTTGTCCTGACTATTTAGTATTATTTAACAAGAATAAGATCAAAAAAGGGACAATTCAAAAATAAATAACAATGAAGATTTAAAATATCGATTGAATAAATATTTACAATATATTTTTATTGAATGACAGGGTACGTAGCATCTTCGTAATTAAGCCCCCAATTTGGAGATTATCATCGGTGGCTAAACTCCGCTCTAACTCCTAAACGATATTATCATAATTATTAATTACTAATCTATCTATAGTGATCAGTAACAGAAGGAATTTTAAAAACAAGCTTACATCAGTGTCAAATGAATCCAATCCAAATGCATCATAATATGTATGCATGAATTGGGATACATTTGCAAACTCCCATAAACCGCGTATGTGGAGTATTACTTGTTGATAGTCCGGGTCGTAGTCGGAATATGTGGTTGTCGACATTGGACTAGAATTTAAGGTCGTATAAGAAAAAACGACGCGTAAACTTTGGATCGTTCTTCATTTAAATCATATCTTTAACATACCTATATATAGTGTGATTTGTCAGTGAATGATAAAAGTTGGTGATTCTGAAAGAATAAAAATATATGGATTTTAGTCCAAAATTCTTATATGCTCTTGGAAAAGTGCGCAAGATACTAATATAATCGGAAAGAAGTCTAGTGTATGTATATAAAGCATAATAATAATTTGGTATAAATATTAGAATTTTTGTAACTTTCAAAGGTATTTTTATAAATAAAAAATGGTGTACTACAAAGTTACTAATGTATCGTAAAAGGCAAGTTGGTAATCTGACAAATATACAAGTGAGAGTTTGGTGTATTGGAAGCCCTATAAGCCTTTAATTACTCTACGGAAAGATATTCGTAAACCAACAGCATTTGAACAGAAAGGGACCCTTTGACCTTTTCAAATAAGATACGGAGAAAAAGGAATGACGCTTCTCTTCATTTTTAATTAAAGGACCCATCATGGCTAAAAACTTATGCTATTTATGATAAAAATAAAAGTGCATTATTTTAGCATTTATATCGATTGATTACCTTATTAACACGGTAAATCTGTAGGCGACTTCGAGATAGTTGGCGAAGTCGTTAATATTAGAAGGATGTGGAGTGTTTGTAATGTAATGACGTATTTATATAAATGACGCTGATCTTGTATAAATCTGTTGCAAAAGGAATCCTCGGTGTTACATTGCAATCACTGATCAGCGTGTTGATTTTTATCTTAAGAAAAAAATTATAAAAAGGCATAAGATTTAATATAATTTGTGTATCTATCCTTTCCGTTAACAAATGGCTGGAATTCTAGAAAAAACCAACAGAGTTATAGAGAATCAAAAGTATTTTCAAGTACGTTACTTGACTTAGTTGAAAGGAATGCATTAATCCTACGTTTAATATTATACGTAAACTTTTAGGCTCACGTTAATCAGCCTCTTTGGCTTCGCGGAAGTCCTGCTAGAAGGGCTTTTGTATCCTTATACTTTGTTACTATTGGAATTGGTTTGACAGGCTCTGTATTTTTGATGTTCTCCAAATTGATTCCGGTATTTGTTTAGGAATTTGAAATTGTGTGGATTGTCTTAAGGCGTTTGCTAAAAAAGTTTTTTTTTTTTTTTTTAGGGCAAAAAGTAGAGTTTAGAACCAGGTTATGGTAAACCTGGTCACCCTTGTCGAAACGGTTCAACCGGGTCAAAAATTTACAACTCGAGTCAAACCCAAGGACCGTAAAAATTTATGTTTAAAAATTCAAAATTTTTTCTGGTAACAACAAAAAATTTAGGCAAAATTTAGTTTAAATTTAATAAATTTTAGATGAATTTTGATTTAAATTTAATAAATTTTTAGATAAATTTTGATTTAAATATTATCTCAACTACTTGAGCAAATTCGATGAATTTTTTTTATTTGAATTCTATAAAAAAAATTTATAAGTTCATTCTTTTGTTTTGTTAAAATACAACATTTTTAATGATTCGGTACCGATTGTTTTGAAGAATGTTATTATTAGAACAAGTTTGTAATTTAATTTATTGCAATCTTGACCAAACATAAAAACGATTAGGAATCAAATCGTACTAAGTCACATAAATTTATGTGGAATCAATATTCAATACAAACTAGCCATATACTGCACGTCTTAGAAGTTAAATAAGTTTGTATTAAAAATAAAATACCTATCATTAAGAATGGGCAAATCGAAGATTTTTTAGGCCCACATTATGGTAGTTTGCTGCTAATGTGAACCTGAATTAGAATTTAAAAATTTTAGAAAATTTAAAATTGTGTGAAAATTCTATATCTAAAATTTTACGGATCCCTGGTCAAACTAGTTGAATATGTAACCTCTAAAACCTGCTACTATTACACAGAAAACAAAATTTAACACATTGTTATTTTGTACGTATTGTGAAAATAAACCACCCATTTTTTCTTACTAAAAAGGTACAAATTTTCGGAGGCTACCATACAAATATCTTGCGAAAATTTTGACTAAAAATTTTCCTTTGTATAAGTCTTTATTATTATTTTCTTTGCTTTTGATGACATGTAATACACTGTGTGTTCGACACGTTCGATACTACCCCGGTAATTCGTAGCGCCGGGGTTCGGGTTATGTAACGTGATTACATTGCATGAATTGCGTGATCGAAGATAGCATAAAAGTAATAGCGTACGTTGTTAAGAAAAATGTCGTAATAAATTAAAGTACATCTTTCCTTTCATAATATCCTCCATTAGGCCGCTTGCAGTTGAATTTTTGGTTAACATCATTTTTAGAACTCTTGGAAGAGGGGAGATAAAATGAAACGAGCATGTAGAATGAACAAATATGAAACAATTTGATTGGTCAATGTAAATCAAGTGATTGGTAAGAGTTATCCAGCGTTTTGATTGGTTGTTCATTTTTTCGGGGGGACTTCAGCTGGGGGGATAAAGAATCAACTTCGGACGGCCTTAATAATAGTAAATTATTACGTAATTATGAAATGTTACTTTATTACATAATTTGTAGTTAAAAGCTATGACTACATTTTGCGTAATGATTTCTGGCTTGTTTGAGTGCCGCCAAGAGAAAACCCGTCATTGGGCTTTCAATTACATTTTGTAGTTTGTTTCCAGAGTGCCGTCTAGAGAAAATCTATCATCGGGCTTTTGATTATATTTGTAAAACATAGTTGATTAAACCCGATGATAGATTTTCTCAAGATGGCATTCTGGGAACAAACTGGACAAAGAATATAGTTGAAAGCCCGATGACAGGTTTTCCCTTGGCAGCTCTCATTTGAGCCTAGTAGAAAAATTATATAAAGGGTCAATAGGGTAGATCTCTTTGAACTTTTAGTAGTACCTTCAATAGATTTTCTTTTGTACCCTTCGATATATTTCATTGTACCCTCTGTCGTTATGCTTACAATCTGAGCTATGTATTGATTTGAGCTCTTCCAATTGTAACCAACGTACCATATAGTATAGAGTTCCGATCCGGATAAATCCTTCATCCATATCTGAATTTATCCAGATATCCTTACTATTTATATCCGGATAAACCGACAAATATTCGGTTAATCATCCGAATAGATTCAGATCTGGATATCCAATAGATAAATGGATAAACGGATAATGGATAAGAACTCTAATATAGTACCCGAGTGGATCTCAGATTCGAATTGGAAATTTTTTTTTTATTTTTCGATAATATCGAATCAAACTTCACCTCGAAAATTAAAAAAAAACTAGCCATAATTCTCGCCGTCAACCTGTTTTCAACCGGTTTACACGATTTCAGTGGCGATTTGGAACTTTAGCAAAAATTAATGAAGTTTCTTCTAGAATGAATATTCAGGGTGAAACATCGTATTAGAAAAATTTTATCAAGTTTATAATTTCTAATGTTTCTATAATCATATCTTATTTTTTTTGTCCTCATTATACATGCTACTTATTCTAAAGAAATAATAGTAATATTCCAGTCAACATGTTATAATTATACTAAGAGGTTTTGTTGAATTTGAAAAAATTTGATGCTAAAATTTGTGTGCATTGTAATGTTCTAAAGTAGTAAATTGTCTAAATTTATGTCACAAAAACTACAATTTAAAAATATCTAATTGTATTATCTGTGTTATTCTAAATGCAATTATTTAATTATACATTTTAAAGTTATTAGCTAAACTGTAAAAAAAAAATATTTACCATAACTTATATTAAGAAAATACTATGTATTGAGCAGTCTTTTATTATTATTATTATTTCCTTCTTTGGCAGCCTTGTTGTTAATTTTTATTAAGATTTGTATTTATAAATTTGTATATATTTTGATCTAATTTTTTGGTTTAATATCTTCTGATTGTTTCAGTAAGTGCTTAAAGATGGTTTGCTATATTAGTTAAAGTAATACTTAGATCTGGTAGTAGTCTAAAAAATTATATAAAAATGGTTTTATTTTATTATCTATATAACTTTTTATTAAACCAAATCATAATTATTTATCTTATTTTTTTTATTTCTTTTATTTTCTTACTTTTTTTAGTAGTTTGATTTCTTTCTATTTTCAAATATATTTTTTGTTTAACTATGTATATCTTTATTATTTAGTTTTGTGACTGCTTCTGGTTTTATTTTATGTTAGTGTTTTGTTAATAATCTTTTAGAATCTTTTGATAAAATCTTTTTAATTATTAGATTTGTAGTTTTTTTTTCTACTACTATTTCTATTAAGATTTAATATTTTTTTTTGTTATATAAAAGCAATTTTGGCAACACTTTAAAAGCAAATCTGTTTAATTTAATTATTCATTAACTTTCTCCTAGTAATCTTTTTTTTTTTTTTTAATATTTTTTTTTTTATTTTTATAAACTACTTGACTTTTTTGCTTTTATTTAATTTTTTTTTAATAATTTTAATTATTGTTTAGAAATTATTCTGTTATTTGACTTAGATAAACTAAGTTGAGTTTTTTAAAAAACTTAACTATGTTTTAAGTAAACTTATTAACTAGTAAATCTGCAATTTTTTTATACTATTTTTTTTATATTGAGATTTGAAATTGTAAATTTTATTGTTATTTATATTTTTTTGGCTTTAAGCATAATATTACAAATCAAACAAAGGCTTATTAAAGTATTATTAGAATATCAATATTTAATAAAAGGTTTCTAATTAAAATATGAAAGCTGTCTGATGCAAGAAACTAATATCATTTCAATTTAGCATCTAATTTTTACAGAAATTTATCTTATAAAAGAAGCAAAATCTATAAGTTTGTTATTATTAATATTAAATATATAATATATATTACTAATTTTTTTATTCTTTTTTTAAATTAACAGTAATTAATATCAGTTAATCAGTAATAATTATTATTAAGCCTATTATAATGTTGCAAGTTATTATATTTATATTAACAATTCTTATAGTAATACAGAATAAATTATAAAAATACAAATATAATAACTTGCAAAATGCCTATAACTTATATTAATAAATAGAATAGATTTATATATACTAATTGATATCTATTATTTATTTTTAGTTTTTTTTTATTTTTTACTAATCTTTTAGGATCATTATCAATTTTTTATTTTTTTATTTTTATTTTTTTTTAAACTAGTCTTTTGGGAACTAGGGCTTTTTTATTCAGTATTATAGAACATGATAACTCATAGTCCGATTACCTCAGAGGAGCTACCTTACATTAGAGAGTACATCTAGTCACATATACACTTTTGGTGTTTAATTTAGTAGTCTGCCTATATATAGGTTCTACATTAGCTACCATACCTGCAATCCAACTACGGAAGTTGCTTATTTAAACCCTCTGTACTGCAATTCTTACTGTTATTACTAGAACATCTCCATTACACGATGTCAGTTGAGAAGTTCTAGATGCTTACTTATACCCTTAGGACCCTGCCTTATTTCATGCAAACTATCCTTAAGACATCGTTACCAGAGCCTTCTGTATCCCAACTTATAGCTAAACCTAGTTTACAATCCTTGCGAAGTTTATACAACCCCAGTATCTATCTTTTACAACCTCACCATTACCTCATCTACTCTTGCAAGTTCTCCTATACTACAAATCCAGTTAGTTCTGCATAATGCAACTTTATGTTCAGATCAACCAGTGGCTAGGTTGGTGGACCCCCTACCTAGAGGTTCTTGCCTGTACAGGTCACCTGTCCTAAGTTTTCTTCAGTAGATCAAGATCTTCACAGGTGGCACTGTCAAAAGTTGTACTATCTTTCTGCTTGGAATTTCTAAGCAGGCTTCTAATCTAAGTATATATTTTTTGGATTTATTCATGTAACATTGCACACTTCTAAAGTTAGTCTTAGTATAACCAAAATTACAGAATCTACAAACCTTAGATTATGGATAAGTTTGCCAGAATAGGTCTATTTTTTCAAAATCTGTTACTGATGGGAATTGAACATTGGACCTACTGCTTGGAGGATGACAACCCAACCACTACACTAGGATCGCTATTCTCATTTTTTATTTTTTTTGACAATAATAGTGAAGGCTTTTTAGAATGTATTTTAATTCACTTAACTTATATCTAAAATTACTTTTCAGAGTTTTTTTAATTACTAATATAGTTTTTATAATCATGTTGTAAGAAATTTTATTTTAATTTGTTATATAATCTTTGTAAAACCTTTTGTCAAAATTATTTACTATTTGAAATACTTCATTCTGTATATTAAAATAAATATTAATTAAACTGATAGCTTTATTAGTATATTAAATATATATATCAAAAGTGTAAATTAGGAAATTTAATAACTACTAATTTTATTTTTATATATTGATATATTATACAAGATCTTTTTCAACCTATCCTAGCTAGAATCTAATTTGAAATAGTTAGCTATAGCACTTATAAGAAATAAAAGATGTAATATTACATTGGATGCCAACTTATAGCACAAATATAGTTTAGAAATCTTTAATTTTAAAACTTATAATTCTATATGTACAAAGTTTCTACTTGAACATTATATTAATAAAAAAAAAAAAGATATATTATACATATATAAAAAAACTTATATTGTTCTTTGTTTAGATTTTCTAAGATTTTATATAATTTTTTAGAATAGCTAAAAGGTAGATCTAGTGAAACTGATAGTTTTTGCTAATTATTTTATTATTATTATCAGCTTGCTCTTTCTATTTGCCTTTATTATATTTGGTAGCTAAAGATAGAATATTAGTAATGATAATAAGATTGTTGCTGATAGTGTTATTTGAACTATTAGTACTATTTTTGGTAGTAATTGTATTGCTACTAGCATTTTCAGTAGTAGTATTATTATTATAATTGTTAGTAGTAGTTGTTTAATTATTGCTACTAATATTAGTACTGATAGGATGATTATTGTTTAGTTCATTTTCTATATCTGTAAGATCACAGTTTTTTTAGTAAAAAAGATAATCTAGTAGTACTAGTAGTATCAATGCCTTTGTTACTTTGATAATTATAAACATTGTTATCTTATTCTTGTACAATTGAAGTTGAGAATTAGGAAGCTTTTTATAGTTTTTTTATTTTACTTATTAAAGATTGAACTGCTTTTTTCAAAACATTAATTTCTAGTATATATAAAATAAACTATTAGATCTATTTTAATAACTTTATTAAAAAAAAAGACTTAATAGTATTTGAGTCATTTTTGTAACTTTTTTTAAATGATTTAAAATATTTATTTAAATATCTATAACTTTTATTTTCTAATAAAGCATGAAACCTAAACCTGCAAATAGCTTAATAGTATCAATTAAAATATAAAAACATTGAAAACCAATTACAGTTTCATAATGTTGTTCTTGAACTATTTTGGTTTTATAAAGTAGTTAATTAATAGTTTTGTTATAATTGCATAATAGATGAAACTGATTAACATCAAAGTACTATTTAAATTTTTTAGATGCTTCTTTTATATATTTTGGTTTTCAAAAAAAAAATATCTAAAGTTTTTTTAGCCAAAAAAGTTTAGTAATATTGGTTGTTTAATTAGTTCAAAAAAAGAAAAAAAAAGACAAAAAAAAAGTTTCTTATATAATTGTCTATCTTAGATTTTAATATATAATGCTATTAAGAAGTGTGACAACCTAGTGAAATAGTTAGATTGTCAATCTTTCAAGTGGTAAATTGGGTGTTCAAATCTTATTGATAGCAAAAATTTGAATAATCACCTATATAATATTTGTATTACGAAACTGTTACTAATGATTAGATTAAAATATCTGTAATAGTATCACACCAGCATGACTGACAGGTCATAGGGCATTTATGTAACAGTTATATAACATTGTTCTTTGAAACAAGGTCTGTAGTTATGCAAACTAGCAATCAAGTAATGCAAATACTAAATAAGTTCTTGTGGTTGTATAAATCTGTTAAAATTGGGTAACAAGAAGTCTATTTGAAAAGACCTAAATAAAAAAGTAGCTGGATCTTTGATAGCTTTATTATAAAGGCTAGTTCAGAGAAATAGATACCAAGGTTATTGTACCTAGTCATAGTAGCCAAACAGGCAAGAACCTTCAAGTTGAGAGTTTTGGATGTACTACCAACCAGGCTGCTAAAACAAACTGAAAAAAAAAATATTAGACTAATTTAATATACTAATAAACTAGTTGTAGTTCTATATAGACTATCTAAATTGAAAGTTTAATAAAAAGGCAGGTAAAAAGACAGAAGTATACTAAAGTACTAAAGTTATGTTGTAAAGTAAATACTAGGATCTAAGTAAACTCTACAAGAGTATAGTAGTTTAATGGCTAAGTTCTGATTGCAAGTGTTGGTTCTGTTATAGCATTACCTAGATTAGTTGTAAAAATAGATACAGAAGGCT